GTGAGCTCCGTGTCGCCAGCCCTGCCCATGCCAGAGCTTTCGTCTCAGCCCGTGCCTCTCAAGTATTCACCTGTATCTGCCCACTGCGGACGGTTGTTTCATGACTCTTGCTTGCTTGCTTGCTTGCTCGCCTGCTTGCTTACTTCTTCGTGTACCTTGTTGATAACTGCCTTCGGAGTTTTTCCGATGTCCTGACGATCAGGTTGCTCGCTCTCTGGGTACGTGCACGGTTATTCTACATAAGAAACTTATGCTTGCCATCGCCAGGTTCTGCTAGCCGAGCGAGGCACACACAGTGACGGCCAACATAATCCGTCCGTAATGCATCAATTGCGACCCGCAGTTTCCAAGTCGAAGGTGGTGCTTACCAGGGCAGACCCTGTCAGCCAGTTGTCGCAAACCTTGACATACTAATCGAAAACTTAGACCCGAGAAGCCGAGCAAAGTTTCACCCCTGTGCCTCCTGCCAAATCGCGTAGGTGCTCACGAACGGCCCTGGAGGTTCATGTTTAGTGAACTCGGCTCCGCGGCAAAAGGGGCGTGCGTGAGGATGGCGACTCCAAGATCTTCCCAAGTGCAACTGATGTGCATGCACAGGTGACGGCCTTGTAAGGGGCCGCTTTAAGTCCTAGCTGGAATTCCGCGGCCGTCTTAGCCCCAGCTTGGGCCGCTGTTCGTGCCGCCATGGGCCCGGGAACCCAGACATCTTCCAGACATCTTCGTGTCTTGTTGTGGAACTTAGTTTAACTTGCCAGAACCAGGGATATACTAGTATGGTAAATGGTAAGGCTTCCTCATCATGACTCCTAAAGAACCCCGCATCATGCTTGCTGCGGCCATTAAGATTGGATATGAAGCTTGGCAGCCGTGAGTCGTTCTGCAGAGCATGCATACTGCCTGTGACACTCAGGCTGAGAGACTTCAGCGTGGTGCGGCAAGTAGCGTTGGAATCTCAATCCTGAGCTGCATGTCGGACCCGGGACTTGCCTGTTCAGCGAAGTGCAATGCTTTGTCTCAACGAAAACTGTCTGCCGATGTCAGCAAGTCAACATCGGCACGCAGCTACTAAGAGATCAGGCAGGAAGCTGGAAGCCATGATTCATCCTCCGGCGATGGGCGGCCCAGACCTCAGTGCTCGGGCCAGTCGCATTCACTTGGATGCCAGAAGTTTTCGGTATACTCTAGCCGAAGAGCAAATCATGAGCCGAGGCAAGACCGCTTGGGGTGTCAGCGGCCCGGATTGGCACTCTCGACTCAAGCGGGGCTGTGATCTCTCGTCTCGACTTGGTGGTTGACCCGGTTGAACGCTCCGATGTGAGTTCGTGACAATCTGGAAGATCTCTGAAGATTCTTCCAGCTTCGGCCGGCAGCTTGACTTCGCGAAAGGTGAACAAAGAGACTGTGCACCACGGCACTGATGATCCGGAGGAGTGCAAGTGTCAGTTTGGCAGTTTGGGCTTTGAAGTGGGTTCCGCGTCTTCCATCTTCCACGAGGGAGAGACATTCAGGCCGGGCTCGTGAGGTCTGAGGTCCCCTGCCCGGAGCACAGAGACTGTGCGTGAAGCTGTCAGGAGCTTCGAAAGCTTCGTGAAGCACAGGCGGCTGAGTCTGGCTAGCTGTGTCTTTGCGCTGAGCTTCAGATCGAACGAGGAGTGCAAGGGCTTATGAAGTCGCAGCTGTTTCCCGGTTAAACTTGAAGCGAATTTGTTTGTCCCGGCGCAGCGCCACAGTGCCCTTTGGTATAGGCTGAGCATATCAAGAACAGCCGGACTGCACTTCAGAACACCCGAACATCTAATACTAATACATCTATCTGTGAGGCAACCATGACTGTGGCGATGCGCCATCCCATTCTGACCTTAGTTCAGGACGTGGACGTCCACGGAACAACCCATAACTTCTTAAGCCCTTGAGTACCTGACCTGTGTTCTCTAGCATTCTCTAGCAGAGTCGGTCAGTACACCGTCGTCACATTACGGCATTTCCCCTCCCTATGGCACAGGTGAGATGCTGTGCGTCACTAGTCCTGCATGTCGGTGGGGTTTCACCCGCATCTGTTTCAGGGCAGTTTCAACTCGCGCGAAGAAGAGCGCCTCCAGCGATTAAAGGCTATGGCGTGGTGCTCAGGCTTTGCCATGTCGGCGTGTTTGCCTTGCTTCAGTGCTTCCGCCCAGTGCAGCAGCTTGCTTTTGCACTCATCCCAGCTAGGTTTAGACGCCAGCGTTAGAGTTTCCGCCTGGTTTCGAAAGGCGAGGGCACTCCATATGCACTTTGCAACCAGCATCGTTGCGGGCGTTTGAGTGACACCGCCCATACATTCGCCCTCTCTGCAGGCTTTTGAACGCTTCGTCAACGCATTTAACCGCGTGCCTCCGAGGACCGGGATGCGGACAGCATCCTGGAGGCGAGACGGGCAAGGAAGAGCTCCTTCGACCCGATGGCGGCTGGGGCCCAAGCGCCCAAGCCGTCCTCACTGCATGGGGTTTTTGCTGAGCCTCTGAGCCTCTTGGCTGTCGGGCTCTTGGAAAGGTCCAAAAGCGAGGCGATGTGGATGCCGGTCCCTGAGATTCCGGAGCAGCCTTGGCATTGTCAGGTTGCCTAGGTGTTGAACAGAAGAAGCATTGAAGTATTCGGCCGCCACAGGCCTTCCGGAAGCAGCAAGAGGAAGCTCTCCTCAGGATGGCTGCCAGTGGCTCAGCGCTGTGCATAGCTCTTCGAACAAGCGAATGCCTTTCCCGGCGGCTGAGGCGGATTGTACACATTCGACATGACATAGTCTATTGTACATGTCGTAGCAGATGTCCGTCAGACCTAAGGAGATGAAAGAGCAGAAGAGGCTCGAGAAGAAGCAGAAGAAACTGGCAGAGAAGGGCGCGCGGTCTGCTTTCACTGCTTCCCAGGGGTGGTTCGAATAACATGAAGTGATACATCCTACCGAAGCCAGGCTTCAACATGGGGCTACATGTAAGCCACTCAAGCTCTTGGTGATCGCTGGAGAGGTGAAAAGCCCAAGAAGGAGAAGAAGGTGAAGAAGAAGAAAGGCACCCTTTCGACTACACGCGCGCAGCAGCAAGGCTCGGCTGGCTGCCGGCATTGCAGGCAAGAAGGACAAGAAGAAAAAGGATAAGAAGAAAAAGAAGGAGAAGAAGAAGAAGTTCCTTGGACAGGGAACTTCCGAGGCTTGTACAGGCTCTCAGGCATATTCTTTCAAAGCCCTTTATGTGCGGCGGCTGTCTCTCCGAAGAAGAGGCCCAAGAGCTCTTTCAACCATCCCATTGCTCGAACGGTGACCCAAGAAAATCAGTAAGCCGAGGGGCAAGAAGCGAAAGAAGTCCTCTTCTTCATCTTCCGAGCCTCAGTCGCACACAGAGAAGACGGTCGTCGCAATCTTTGCATGATTCTGGGGAGCTTTGCAGGACAGCTCCGATTCCTCCTCCGATTCCAGTGACTCGAGCTCCTCGTCTTCGTAGACGAGCATGACATGACAGTCCCATTGGCCCCAGGGTGCTGCTGACACGAGCAGAGCAACTTCTCTGACGGTCGGCTTCGGGTGCATCCGTGGCTGTTGCATGGTGCTGCGAAGAGCACCTGCTTGTAATGAGTCGACTGCCGCATCGGCAATACACGCCAGCAGATGTTTGGCGTTAGGCTGAGAGCAGGATTGTTTGAAATTCATGCTGAAGCAATAGCAGGCACGCTGCACTGCGACACGTGCTTGTTCAAATGATCACCCAACACGAACAGGAACACGCGAAACAAGCTCTGCATTGTAACATGGTCGCGAGGAATTCGAAAGTCCTTCTCTCAAGAGCCATTCTAGACCAGATGTTTCGACAGCCGTGAGATCGGGCCAAAATCATGTGGCGGTCAGTTGTTGCTGCTTCTTCGACTTCGATGAAGCCTGTGTTTCGAGTTTGCGTGGTATGCTACGCACGGAGGCCGGCATAGGCATAGGCTTCGAAATCGTCTTGTGCAATGGTCCATGATCGGCCCTGTGAAACTTAGGATTGCTCGCGTAGCGAGGCTCGAGGGAGGGTTTTGAAGCTTCCAAACCCTGGGCAAGATGTCGGCCACGGAAGTGAAGCTTTTTGGAAAATGGCAGCTTCACAGCAAGATGATTTCAATCGAGTAGCTCCGGGCAACCTTTGCGCTCCAGTCTTCTGCGCTCAGCTGAGGACCTACGAGGATGTG